CGTTGGGGTACTGGATCCTCTCGATGTTGAGGTGCTCATACTGTGGCAGGGGTGGAGGGGGATCAGACAACTCCCTTCTTTCCTTCCTAGTCTGCTGGGCAGAAATGAGTTTCTCAACCATCTTAAATAACTGATCAAGATCCTCCCGGAGTAATCCCTCCCAGACTGCCATATTTAACAGAGGTATTCCTCTCCTCATGTTCCTTTACCTATATTTCATAACATTTATTTGAGATTCGGATTGTATTAAATTTACACTAACCCTATGTGTAAGGATTGGTTCCGAAGAATGTGATTCTGATACCAACTGTAAAATGTCCAGGCCCCCCACTAAGGATTCCGAGCTTTTAACTTAGAAATAATGAAATAAACAATAATGAAATTTATAATTTAACGGAAGCAATTAAAGTTTCAGATTACATTTTTTGCACAATTCATTTAAAATGCTCAATAGGGTTATAGAAATGCCCTTGGAACTTTAATGAAAAAAACATAAGAGAAAACAAATATGATTCACCTCTACTTGAAACTGACGAAGCAGAATATGCAATCTCTTAATCAATTTCTTGCTATTCAGGATCCATATGTTGGTCGTTCTGATCTAAAATAGTTAATAAAAAAATGGGTGAGCTACACTAGCTCAATAAAAATATTAACATCTTACCACTGATACGAAAAATTAAAGGGTTGTAGAAAATATAAAACAACGAATGACGTTTGTCTTTAATAAAACTTGAATGCTAGTGCTTTCATTATTCATTTCACTGAAAATAATAATATTTTCTCAACTCACTTGTAAATTCTTAAATATCATTTATTAAAATAAGAATCAGAATAACAATCTACAACACGCATTCTAAAGGACATATAACAATTAACCTTGCATTATTTTCCAAAATTGGCTTTTGGACTATATTCACCTTTATCATTTTACCTTTTCTACCAGTGGGGTCTGTAGGGATCCCCACTATACGTGAATACGAATATTCATTCTATAATCAAACGGTCGTCCCTATACCCCGTCTGATAATGGGCACCAAAACATACAGGTACCTCAATACCCTGTCCGTTATGAGTGTAATTTAAAATAATTCTCAACCCCTTATAGTATGAGACTTCTCAGCCCCGTA